GTCGAAAGCGAAATTTTCGCAGCGGCCGACTGACGAGATGGGCACGAAAACTGGGACGGTCTCGATCCATCCGTCCGGTAAAAAAGGGCACAACAATGCGCGCGTAACGTGCCGCGCAGCGGGGCGCAACGTGTTCGCGCGCGCTGCCACGTCGCAGGAAGCCCGAAATAGAGGAGAGAGAGAAAGAGAACCGTCGGTGCGCGCGGCGGGGCGACGCGCAAAAAGGGAGCGTAGAAGACCAGGGTCGATCTCTCTCTCTGCGCGTGGAATGTATCGAGGCCCCATAGGGCACAACACACCACGATATGCGTGGACCGCACGGGATAATGCCCAGGCCCCATTGAATAGATCAATTTACAATGGCAGAAAATGAGCACCGCGCGCTCCACCGGCCCTGTGGCGTGCACCCCTTCAACTCCCCCCTAGCCAGACCCCCACTCCGTAGAGGTTCGTTCGCTTCTCACGATTCGACGGCGGCGGTGGTCGTGCCGCGACTGAGAACCACGCATGCGTTCCACGGGCGCGCGGCGACGCATGCGTGGAAAACGGGACGCGGACGAATAATCCGAACGCCACGACCCGGGCGCGCACGCGGCCCTTTTGTCGCGGCGCGATCCACGACCCTACCGGCAACCCGATGGCACGCATACACACAGTATCGACAGGGTGTAAAAGTGGGTTGGAACGAGAGAGACAGAGAGATCGACACGCATCGAAAACCGCCGCAAGAGGATTGTCACCTGCTTATCTTTTCACGGTTACCAGGTTGGCTCGCGGTGAATAGACTGCTGCCCCCTGCTTTCTCTGCCTTCCTTGTTCCGCCGATCGTGTGTACAGGGTGACGCAAGATGGGTTTAGAAAGCTTGGATTATGAGAGTATTCATTGCAGTTGATGATACGTGACCCTGATCGTGGTAGATTTGTTAAATAATCCTAAATGAATGGGGTAGAAGTCTCGATGATAATACTTGAGGAAAGGTGTAGTTTGGGTTCAGTGAGATCTCGAGGGGCTTGAGATCTGACGTTGGGAACTAGTAGAAATTGGAAATTTCGTTCTGTACCCTAATGAAGATCTTTAATCGAAAACCAGTAACGAAGAACTGTTCATCCTGAACAAATCTAATGGTAATTTTGTCACGTATTCTCTGGACGATAACAATCGAACGAAGAAACCATAAATAAGAAGCAAACTCTGTACACACTCCGTTAACAATTTGTTTATCCGTTTGGGGGGTTCGCAGTCGCAGACCTGACGCCATATGGCGCATCATCGCCCGTGTCTCCGATGAATTCTTGTTCCGGAGACGATCCACGGGAAAGATACGCGTGGAAAGACGATGCTTCATCGTCGACCGGCGGCGGCTCGTTACCGCGAGTGGGAAATTAATTACGTCGATAATACGGATGATATACGGGGTCCGTGTAAAAAAAAGGCAGGCTCCATACAGCAAAGGGGAACACACCGTGTCCGCCATCGCGATTTACTATGCCGTTACGTTGCAATACGCAAAGAGTCTAGGAGAAAACCTCGCGGAGAGCCTTCGGGTATCCTTCTTGTCCCCCCTCCCCTTCTCCCGCGACTCTCCCAGCAACCTCGTAATCCTATGCCGCCTTATTAAGATGCAAATGTCATGTCAATTTCGCAATTCTAACGGAGTCCCCGCGAACACGCCGGGCTCTATGGCGCGCGGAGTTGTCTCTCGCGGCATAATGTCGACATGCCGCCGCGGATAAATAATAGAACGAACGGGGCGGCGTAACGAGAACGAACCGCGGCGGTTCGAGGCGCGCACAATCGAGTCGGTAGAACCGATCCGAGATCGGCTGTGAACCGTACGAGGCGCCACACGAATGGTTATAGAATCGCGTACGAAAAAACTTCGTGACAGCGAGTGTTCGCTATTCACGTGATTTCAATGTTGGAAACCACCAGGCAGTGTGATCATTAGACCGCAGAAGTTCATACAAATTCACGATTTTAGATACAAATATGCGATGACTAGTTTTTTTCCCGCGGTTTTGCTGGCGTGGATTTTGGGATTTCGTGAAAATATTTTTAAATTGAATTACCAAAAAAGAAAAAAATTGATACATATTGTATTGTTAGATTTATCTACGTTTATTTGGACACCTGTCGCCCCCTGGAGAAGGGGGCGACACCTCTAAAGGTTGAATTTCAAAAAATCCTCTTAGTGGATAGTTACTTCCTAAGAGGAAGCTATCCCTAAAATTTAATTGGGACTTCATTTGATCGCGTTTCGCAGGTTACACGGTACTATAAATGCATAAACTTCCGCAGGCTAGTGATCATCACGCCTCTCTTTCTCTGGATACCTACTTTTCGTCACGGGGAAAATCAGGCGCGCTCAAACGGTTAAATTTACAGCAGACAGAGACAGTGCTCTCCTCGAACCCATCGAACCGCGGGTCGAATTAAGCCGCGGACCACCTACCTCACGCACCTTATCGTTCCGTACCTCTGCCCAGGAGTCTTAACTCTTATCGTTATCTTGGCATAGCTCTGCTCGGAGCCAGTTGCTACTGTGTTACCGACGCTCTATATTTAGATGTTACACGGATCCCGTCCTCTCTCATTTTCCAACTGGGTTCACGGGGGAAAAAAATACGATAGAGAGTAAATACAGTAAATCCTCGATGAGTGTTCGAAGGCTTCGACAAGGAGAGGTCGGTCGTAATGCTGACTTTGTAATAACCAACACAGTGACTGAGTTTGGAATTCTGAAGCTAATGATATTCGTTTCAACATCGTGTGGCCATTAATTTATGAAATATTTCATGTTCACTGCCTAGGAGCCTTCGAGCACTCATCGAGGATTTACAGTACATACACGAGACGGTATTCCTCCAAGGATCGAACAATTAGACGTCAGAAACAGAGAGTCACATTCGTCCACACGTTACAAGTTTATGCAAAGAGAACCTGGAAAGTGGGGGGTACGTACGAGTGCACCGCGGCGGCTATCTACCTCCGCGATACCCGCGGACGCAGATATCCCTCAATCTAAATGTGCTGCATTCGTTAGCATCGACTAACCGGCGTGCGCGCGTCGCAAAGACCCACCAAGGCAACATTTTTATCGTCCCCGTCCTCTCTGTTCGTTCCCGTCGTGTGGTACCTGCGTACACATACGCGACGTTTATTCCGCTGGTACACGTTGGGAACATGCATCGAAACCGCCTCGTTACCCACCTCTAACCGTTGCTGCGACGCACACTGAAAATCGATCGTTTCTTTCGAATCGATCGGAATTCCCGGAAGGTCACCAGGAAACATGGTCGCGAGAGGCAGAGAGGGTATACATACCTGAACAGCGTGTGCTCTTTTATTTTTCTCTCTTTCGTGGAACGGTATCGGCTCTCTATGTGGCCAGAAGAACGGACGTGTAGTAGAACGGCGAAACGACCACGCGCGCGCGTTTTTAAAAGGGCCCCGGAATCGTTTCGCGGCGTGCGGCCCCCACGTAGTATATAGGTTCTCCGGTTACCTACGCGTGTCCTTGGAAGAGGACTCGCCTCAGGTGAGTTACACGAAGATCGAGAGAACCGAAGGTACGGGGAGGGAAGAAAAAAGAAACGGTGGAAAAAAAGAAAGGGGGGCTCTTTGCTCTCCTCGAGAGCTGGGAGCGCTCTTCTTCCGGCTCGGTGCGCTCCGAACCGAATCATTCTTCTACCGTGTGTGGATGCTTTTTTCGTTTCTATTACCCCGCGACTGAATTCCTTCGGGAGATCTCGAGAATTCGAGTGCTAAGAAGGAAGGAACGTGTCGAGGAGTCGTGGACTAATTTGGAGCGGTTGGAAGTCATAGGGCCCTTTGGGCACAGTCTTTCACGAAACTGCCTGGACGATAACGAATCGGATGGAAAGTGCAGAATTCTCGGATACCCGTTACGTGGACCTTTGCTTCTTTGGGAATGGAGCAAGATTTTTTATTTAAAGAGTGATGATTGTGAGGAATAGCGTAATCCCTGCAATAGCAGTTGAACCTTGTCCTTTAAACGCATTCTGTACACCCACTTCTGTAGATTTATTTCTATTGGAAACGAAGCCGCGATGTTTGTCTTCTTCTGTGACTGTCGTGTGACTGTCGTGTGTCTGTCAGAGTGTCTTCGAGTAATAGAGAACGTTAGAATGCTATTGTTGGAATCAATAGAAATGCATATTTATTTCGGACCCTAGAAACCTTATTGTTCCAGCTTGTGGATGTTTATTGCAGCTCAACAACAGACTGAAGAGAAATGTCTAATGATTTGAATACACTGCGTGACATAACTATAAAACCACCTTTAAACTTTCAATCTTTATGTATTGTGGTTAAAATAAAAACGAACTACTTTTTTTCCTGTGGAATATAATCTATCCTTTTCTGAAGGGCCATTATTTCTCAACAGGATTTCTAACATGGCATACTTGCTTCCTTTTTATTTTAAACACAATATCTATAGTCCTGAAGTTATGCCACGCTGTGCATACTGTAGCTATAATTTAGGGCAAAGATTCACTGATCCTGACAAAACACAGTATCTATGATTTCACGGGAGAGAAGTGTCTGTACATATGAACGTAAGAAATATATAGAATATCTGCCTTTATCTTGGCTCTGAATCACGAAACAACCGCTGTCGAATCAACCTTCGTAACTGCGGTGTCTGGGTCTATGTTGACCGAGATTCTCAAAAGCTTCGCTCAAGTCCCCCGGCTTACGGTGGTATTAATTCACCCTGACAAATTTTTCATATTACGTCTGATAACGAGACCAACGCGTCTGGAATAAGTACGTTCTAACACACCTCTGGAAATAAAGTTAAGCCACTGCTACCTTTACCCCTACGATATTAAGACCACTGTCTAAACAGATCCATGCAACCCTGTCTATCTCATTCGTCTTCCGCGAACGAAACAGTCATCGTGGCGTTTCATCAACGCCAAAAAGTGTGTACTTACGCTAAAAGTATTACAAGAAAAATGAGTCACCATCTTACCTGTTTGGAGAAGACAGCGATGTCCTCGTTGAAGCTCTCAGACGAGCAGACATCACCGCCCGCGACGCCTGGTTCACGCGGCGTACACGTCGCGAGCTCGCACTTCTCGAAGATTAACGCGAGAAGTGGGAACAGGGGGTGTCTGTGAACAGAAAATAGAAACGGTTAATGATAAAGAATGTGCGCTGAAAAATCCCTGAAAAACACCATCGTGGCTGTGTAGGATCGGTCCCGATTCATAGATACAATGGACTCTAACTATATTGCCATGGTCAGGGCTGTAGGGGAGTAAAATGGCAATGAGTTCAGAGCCCCCTCCATGCTAAGTTCTATCGTCGTAGCATCGGCCTAAGCGCCTGCGCAAAAGCTGGGCCGTGCTGGTGCGCCGGCGTACGCAACGTGGTGGGAGAGCGAATTTGTGTGCTCCAAAGTACGTGTGAAGGGGAAGTGCTTCGCGTGGCAATATGTTTAGTGGCAATATAGTTAGAGTCCACTCTATTGAGATTTAAGCACAAACACGCGGCGATGCTTGTCAATCGAGTCTACGAGATATCGCCAGAGGGAAAGATTGTGTGTGTGTCTCTCTCGGTTTCGTAGCAATTTATCCTCGCAGGCTGAGGACACGGTGCGCGATAAATTAAAACCGGCGATCGACCGACGATATACGCTGATTAAAACACGATCAAAGTCGGGACGACGCGGATAAGCGCCGCTGGAGACGGCGAAAGCCATCGCGAAGAGGCACACAACGACGTGGTTCGTGGAGGAAGCGTGCCCCCCTCTCTCGTGTAGAGAGAAATAAATTACCCGGCGTGTATATTTCCTTCGAACAGCATTCTGGGGATTCTGAAGGCTTTTAATTGCGCGCCGATTCGAAGACACGCGAGATCGTCGGGATACCTTGACCCGGGGGGAAAATAAAGTGATATACGCGGGGTATTGGCGAAGTTGCCCAGCGGATTCGATATGCAACCTTAGAGATAAAGACTGTTGATATAAAGTAGCATTTGAAATTTGAAACAGTCCTGGGTGATACTAGACACACCGATAAGTAATCCACTATGGTTTCGATAAGATTCCGATGATGTTTCGTTAACAACTTGTTGGTTCTCTGTGGACTCGAAATGCTGAAGAAAAATAATTGAAAATAGTATATTACTTGTTTCTGGCCTTCTATATTTTGTAGTGGAACTCGTGTGAGAAACAAAAAGAAGAATATAGTGATTTTTAATTTCTAAATCTACTAAAACCTACGATTGTGCCATGTATACAAGTTCATGATTTCACAGTAGGTCCGTTAATAACGTTATACCGTTTCAACCAACGATGCTATAATAAAAATTTAATCGAGCATACAGGGTAATTCAGTTGCCGATCGCATAGTTGGTCAACACAAGAACCGATGGTTATATTAACACGGAAACAGAATATTTTCACGGTTCACTCGTGGGCGAACGAGCGGCGTGTTACACACGGATGACGGTTGTCCCGCAGTATTAGGAGGATCACCGGATAAGATAAGATTAGCCGATGCTGGTGCAACCACGTTCCAACCGTGGCACACAGGAGGGAAAACTACACTTGTGATTTAAAGTAGATGTACCTCGGCTGCGCCACTCGAAAAGGGAACATCGCATAATAATTCATGTGGTTCCGTTCCAGTCGACGTCGATATTAAATCCAACCGAATCGATTCGAGGAAAAACTGTCACCCCCGTTGTGCATTGTGCGCTAATTATAATCTCGAATGATCGTTTCGTGATTCCCCCGTGAACGTGATCGATCAGATTATTCCGTTGAGTTTATACATATCGGAGACCTTCGAACGTTCCAGGAGGGGTTCTCCGTATCACGCGTAAAATACTGCGAATAAAATCCGCCGTGGAATGCAACGAACCCAAAATATTGCGTGCCTCCTCCCATCAGCCATTCATGAGATACAGTGACTCGAAAGGCGAACGACGAATAAAACGCCGCCTGATGTTACCTTCTTAGCTCTCCACAAACGTCAAACGTTTTTCCTTCCTCCCCCCTGAGGGGGAGATCGCTAATGCACAAATATGCAATATTCACGAACTGCCCCCCCCCCCCCGTGATTTGTACGACTAATTACAACGAAAGGTTGAAAATTAAAACGACTCCCGTCGATGAAAAACGCCACAACCCTTCACGCTATTTATACCCTGAGATACTCCAATGCTCCAACATCTTTCATTAGCATTTTAATAATGAAACTACCAATTCCGTCGAAACGATGAATTTCAGTAGTCTTGCTTTATAATTACGCAACGGAAAAAATTCGTTTTTGTCGGAACATATCCTGAAGCATAACTTATTCTTCTAACTTGTTCACAGAAGTTATATTATACTATATGCCAAATTATACCAATTATATTACTAATTTACTATACACGTTCACGTAGTTCCATTGTTAAATCTATATATTTCCACGTAAGCTTGTAAAAACGATAATCCTGTAGACACAAGATTATAACTAAACTGGCGAAGTACATGCGAATTTACAACTTCAGATACTAATATCTGAAGATTAAAATACCACAGAATTTTGAATTTTGTATCAGAGGCTCTACTACGTTAATAACACATAAATAGTAATAAACTGTATTAAAACCTTTTTGCACTTTTCAAATCAAGTGATCCAGTCCAGTAATAACTTCGTCATACTATTCGATCTGAAGACACCAAAGTTTCACCAATCATTTCTTCTCCGTTCTCCAGTCGCAACCAGCCAGTTCACCGAGCCGTTAATTAATCAACCGCACGGGCCCGTCCGTATAATCGTTGAAATTAACGAAAACACAATTCCCCGGGCAAGGAACGAACGATTTCTCGGTGGCCCTTGCGCAACCCGAAGAGAAAAAAAAAAGAAGGGCCTCCACCACCACTCAGAAATCGTTCTCCGCGGCGCGCGAAAGAAATGTTTATGTGTCGTTAGAGGTGCCTCGAAACGAATCATCGAAGAAACGGTTCGGGAACCCGGGGAAGGGAGGTGTTCCCCGGGGGATGCTGGTAGCGCTACGGGCCAGAGGCGTTGTGTACGCATGGTAGCGGGTCGCGGTCTCGCGGCCGTGGCAGACATAAAACGATTCGGAACGAATTTCGACAAATTGACGTGGCCGGCCGCGAGCAACGACTCTCCGGCAAACCGAGAGTAGAGCCCCAGGCGGGTTCCCTTCGGCAGAAAGAAAAAAAAAAAGAAGGAACGAAAGCAGCCCTCCGTTGCCCTCTTGTCCTCCTTCTGGCTTCGTTTTGTCGGCCATGTGGCCCTTCGACGAAACTCTTTCCCTACAGCACACACGTATCGTTGTATACCCTCGAGAAATTTCGTTTTCTGTGCACTGTATATGTACAGACACGGTTTCCGCCATATCGGTCACTGACGACAGATGTCGAAACGTTTTAAACCTCTTTTCCACATTGGCATAAGACTGCACAATTATGATTCTTAGTGAATGGTAAAAAAACAATGGTTATTCTATTGAATGCATTTTTTGAATATGGATAGTTAAATGTAAGAAGCTTAAGTCGAAAAATGGGGCTTCAAGTCACCAGAATACACCGGTTGCTACTTACGAGTGTCGATTGCCGTGTAAATTTATCGGATTACCGACTCTACCCGGTTGGTGCAATTAATTCCTGTGGTACTTGATGCGCTCGTGTACCGTATCAACAATGTTCGACGAGTTTCTCGAGGATGGACGATCATCGATCGTGATAACGTCGCGAGAGCGACACGGACAGGAAACGTCTTAAGCGGTTTTAAATTACTTGCGTAATTGCGTGCGTAAGGAAGTAACTGCTAGGGAGAGCGAGAAAAAAAAAGGTAACGTCAGAAAACTTTAGTAGGATTGACAAGTTGCAACGATATTGTAATTACTGGTATGTTACGGAATCTTGATTTCCATCGCGTTAATTAACACGAACATCGTTTCAACATACCCTCTTACGAAAGAAAAGAAAAAAACAGAGACACTATTTTTAAATTCATAATCCACAGTAATCCCTCGTTACTTCCCCTTTGATGATTCTAACAGACAAGTATCGAGGTCGTACAGTACTTTTTCACCTGTAGAATACGCAGAATTACCTTTCATTCACGTGTCGAGTATTTCGTAGAATACAAAACTTACGAAGAATTCAAAATCACAGTACGCTTTTGCCTGTAGAATGTTCGGAATTATTTCTCATTCACGTGTCGAAGAACTGGAACAACGCAAAAGTTACGAAGAATTCGAAAACAGGATGGATTCTCAATGCGAAAACTGTGATTTGATCGTCGATTTGCGGCCGGTTTCCTTCGCGCGTGAGCGCACGATCAGGAAAACCGCCGGATTACCGGGTGCCTGGATGAATGGTGTGCAGTTTAAGTGTATGCTCCTTAAGCGGTCGCGGTGCAGCAAAGTGCAACGTCGATGACAAATGACGGGTCGAAACGGGGTGTCAGAATGACGGGACCGCAGAAGGTAATGACATGATTGTCCTCCCCCCCCCCCCCCGCCCTCAATTCACGGCGCCCTTTTTTTATCCGTGGCTATCGGCGATTTCACGCCGTGATCGTTGCGATACACGTGGCAATTTACATTCCTCGCGAAATCACTGATAATTGTTCTTCCTTCGGAGAGTTGACTATTTCTGATTCATTACACGTCGGTAATAACACACTTCCTTTGCATCCTGTGTCCCCATATAATGACGTTCATAGATAGCATAGATTTCTACGAAAATAATTAGCACAATATTTTATTAGGAGCTCGAGCGTCGAAGAAACGACGGCGAATGTTATTCGCGATAGGATGTAAATTTAAGATCGGAGACAGGTGAAGATTGAAGTTATTACTACGGATGAACCGTTTCACTCAGTGACAGTCGCAAATGTAATTAACCACGAGTATTGGACGACGGAAGTGTTCCAATTGGTTAAGGATAATTCGTTTAAATCGATTCCCGTCCAGAAACTGGAACATAATGAAACTGCGCGGTCTCGAGTGCTGTGTACAGGGTGTTAATGAAAATGTGGGACACTTTCACGGAGGACGAATCAAGAATGACGAAATTGCGTTCGTGGCACTCTGTTTTCGAGGTACTAATCGTTGGAAATACTCGTAAAACACCACTGACGCGATGGGTTATACTACTCGAAAAATCGATTCCCATGTGGTACACGGATTCGATTGATGATCTCGTGAAACTAATGAACACGATATAAAATTGAGATAAATGAAATCAATTCGTGAAACAGTTGAAGAGCTCGCCTTTCAAGTAGAACGTAATTTTCACGCGTATTTCGCCTGTATTTGCAGCGATTAATAACTCGAAAAATGAATTCTCGAATGTAATTTCGTTATCCTTGATTTTCGTCCTATTTCAGCACATTTTTATCACCACTCTGGACATCGCAGAAAGATATTAAACGGCCGATTCCTTCGAAGAAAATACAATAACCGTGTTAATATTAATTGTATGTGTCGTACACGGATAAAAAAAAAGTATAATACGCACACTGTTCGCGTGTTACGCGGCCGTTTTTCACATTTTCCCACACCGTAATACCCTGGGAGAAAATACTTATTAACGCGTATCAATTAATATTGACGTTGAATTAAAGTATCGAACAGAACGGCGGGGCGCGGTTACCACGCCGGGTGAAAGCGGACTCCGGGCGTTTGCCGCGTATATCGGTTTCTGCATATTAATTTATAACGTTAAAATAAAAACAACGTGAAAACCGCGGCGATAATGAGGCAGATAAAGGTGTCGGCGTGGAAATCGGTCACACTATATAAACTGCGTGGCATAATTATTAAACCACCCTAAAAATTATAATTCTTGTGTACTGTGATTAAAATAAAAACAAACCAGGTATGCCATGTCTGAAATCGTGTTGAGAAATAATGTTTATCCAGAAAAGATAGACTATATTCACTAGAAATAAATGTGGTTCGTTTTTATTTCAACCGTAATACATAAGATTACAAATTTTAACGTGGTTTTATAGTTACGCCACGCAGCAGAGATGGGCAAACTCATTATCTAGTTTACATCTAATCACTCTCTCATTTTACATCGATTAAACGTGGAAATTTCATTGGGAAGCAATTATTTTATCTCAGTCACTGGAAAAAGATTTTAAATACTGGTACTTCCCACTATGCGTTACCCGAATAAAATTCCAACTCTGCCATGGAGTATACCATAGTTTGTCGGAACAACCGCGAAAAAAGCGCGCACTTCATTAAATCGAGACATGTGCCAACGATCTCGGAATCTTCACACTAGCTAAAAAAGACATTTTCCCCGCAGATAGACATCGAGCATTCGTTCGAATTTCATTCCCGTTAAACTCGACTCTGTTCGCGTTTTACCACGAACTTTAATTAATTCCCCCGTAATTTCCATAAACTCCCCTCCGCAATCGTCTCGATTTCCCGGGGCAGGAAAGCAAAGCAAAAGAAGAAGAAAAAAAAAAGAAGAAGTAATACGAGTTTCTCGACTTTCTCGAACCGTCTCAATTACCCCTGTCGAGGCAGAAAACGCAAGCGTGTGTCCGATCGGGGGCCCCCTGCGAAATAAAACCCGCCACGAGGAATCCTGTTTTCCCGGGTCCAGCTAAGCGGCTTGCGAGACGGCGTGTGATGTAATCATAACCAGCCGCTCGCGGCAATCAATTCCATTAAACAGTGCATTAATATTCATTACTCGCTCATCTGCTGAACTGTCACTCTAATGCACTAATTATCGTCGATCAGAAAACGAGTGAAAAAAAAAAAAAAGAGAAGAGAAAAAAAAACCAGCGGAATATTAAATAGTCGAGCGTGCGTGCGTGTGATCCTATGTGCGTGGCTTTCGTTCGTGAGTTCCGTGCGCTCGGTACATCCGGCCTGCGAACAGGAGAGTCGTACGTGCAAGGCACGCAGGACGACCACGGAGATTTGCGTAAGACGTCTAATCCATAAATGACTCGGCCAATCGGTACTCCTTGCATAAGGATCCCCGAGGTCCCAATGATTGGCAGATTCGCCTGTGCGTTACGTCTTCGACTTCGCGCTTACGTAAAGCTTCGTCTCTGCGCCTCGTGAAACCAGCAACAGTCCCCACCACCGTGAGTATTCGAGGGAATTTTTATGGCCCACTTTTGGGATCCATGGCTGAATTCAATCTTTGAATGATAAGAAGTAGGTCCGATCGAACTTTCAGGGTGGAAGAGTAAAAAGACTGGGGAAAACGGCGAAACGGGCCCTCGATTTCACCTGGGACGACTCAATCTCGACCTGGCCGTACCACCAGCGATCGGTTTGTAAACACGAGTTTATCAACGGCCGGTGGAAATGAACGGGGGCACACGAGAAGGAGGAGGCTAAACGGCCGCCTCGAGACGGCCCTCCCGTTCCGAGAAAGCCGTGGAATCTGCTGCGGGTTGCTCCCGGGCCGGGGCACACGACGAGTGGACAAATTACAGGGTACGCGGAAATAATGAGGCTCCCGTTCTAGGATGTGTACACCAGAAATCGGGCCATCTCGCGGTTATAAATCACACGGCCCAAGAGAGAGAGAAAGAGAGCCCCCGTTCTCTTCGTAAAACGGCCCAATTGACGGGTTTCTGGTCCCGAATGGATGAGGGAACGCGTGTGCCACGGAGGCAACGGCCCAAGACCCGAACGCACCGTTTTTCAAACGTACTCACGACGTCATTGCTCGATCGTTTTCCCTGCTTGTACTCGCTAAGATCGGACGCGATAATGTCATCGATACCAGTGGCTTATCGATAAGATGGACTGAACTTGAACGACCTGCTCCGAATAATTACACGATCTCTTGTTTTACGATGACGTTATCTGTGGAGTGGGAGCACGGGATTTTGGGTGGATTTGGAATAAATTGATCGATGATGAATTATATATACTGGAGATTTGTGTATTTTTAGGTTTATGGAAAATGCTTCGAATGATCGTTAATCTATTGGAGAATTAGGAATGTTAATTATTTTCGAAGGACCTTTTGGACTTCGTCATCTGAGCTGGTAACGATGGAAATTTTATAGGCATTGTTAATGATGAATGGGAACGGTGTATGGATGTTAATTTGAAATTATGAAATAATCGCAGTAACGGGTCATGAATTTGCGTGTAGATCGCCGCTTCGCCATTAGGATTTATCAAACTATTCCGGCATTGTTGCGGCTCGCGTTTCGACGATGCTGAAGTTACGGGTAGATTAACGCGATAGATAGAAGAACAAAAGACGTACTAAACAGGAACGTTGAAGAGTTGTCCGGTGTGTAATTGGCCAACACCCCCCTCCCCCCTTATGATAACGGGGTTTTATCTTGTTTGATTTTAGTGGTTGGGTTTAATTGCGATGGGGATCGCTCGTTAGCAGTTCCTTCGCGTGTACAACTCGTTCTTATAAACACGCATTCTTTCAAATATAATATAGGTACTAAATACAGTAGGTATATTCAGTAAATCCTCGATTAATGTTCGAAAGTTCCGTTAAGGAGAGGTTCCCATGTGTTACACTAACTTTTTAATGAGGTCTAACAAAGTAATAGAGCGTGGAATTATGAAACCAATCGTATTTGTTTCAGTGGCATATGACCCTTAGTTTATGAAATATTTAATATTCAGTGCTCGAGGAGCCTTCGAACACTCATCGAGGATTTTCTGTACAGGGGGAGTTGCCTTAACGCCGGGCGGCACCTAATACCGGACATGAACTGACAAGAAGACTGAATTCAATGTTCAAATTGCCAAGAATGAGCACACGACTATTCGGATAATTATATTTGTGATCGCTGGAAATTATATTGAAACTGTCCTGAGTTAAGTTACTAAGTTTTACTGTGCCCGGTACTAGGGGCCACTTAATAATCTTTCAAAATCATATACCGAAGTTTAACGTTCATTTACGTTAACTATTATGATAATGTCGATTATATTGTTCCTTTATTTGGAGTTCTAATATTGTTAACTTATAAATAATACAGAATAAAAAGATTAAAACATTATTCCTTCTTTTAACTCCTCCTACCAATCAAGTAAAATAAGAAATGATCAGACACACTTACCCATAGATCGCGTCCTTGTCGCGTTTGTGTACGTCGGGCACCGCGGATGCGGCAGCCGCGGCCGCGGCCGCGAGCACGTGTTGGGGTGGCTGCGGCGGAGGCGGTGGGTACTGGGGATGAGCTGGGCCCATACCCCCGAGGTGAGGACTGTGATGTAAGCCGGGCACGCCACGTGCGCTCCCGTGCGGATCGTACAGCCCTGCGCCGCCGCCGCCACCTCCGCCCTCGAGGTAACTCCCGTGCAGCCCGCCATCGTCATACTGAAACACCATCATGAAAGATAAAAAAAAAAAGAAACAAATTAGTGTGAATTATCGATCGACGGTTCGAGTAATTAACGGCTAGACCTCGCGCGCACGAACAGCAGATGTGCCTCCCCTCTCCCGACACTCATAGAAACACATCCGAGAGCCCCGGTCTGAACGTCGAGGAAATTTATGATCGCGTTTCCTAAATCGATTGATTGTTCTTCCTGTATACCCTACGTGGACCGTTAGAAGAACGAGTGTGTCCCGATGTTTCGAGTGGTTATTGATCGCGCCCGGTTGCGGCCACGATTAATTATCGATGGTTCCTTTTGTGTATATCGAGCGCACAAGTGCACACATATGAATTATTACTCCGCGGAGGAGGAGGCTACCACACGCTATATCGGTTCTATTACTCTCTCATCCAACGATAATCGCGATAAGTTCCACGGGGGTTGATTAAGACACCCACCACAGGATGGAACAATGTCCGATATCAAAAGGCCGCGAGCGGCGTACACACACACACACACCTTTGTCTCGAGTCAGTTTCCCTAGGGGGAACGTCGGTTGGGTTCGTAAATACGTTTCGCGAGAAGTCCGATGCACGGGTTCTAGACACCCGATGATCCTGGCCGCCGCCATCGATTCCCGACTCGGTATTTAGGTATTAAAAATAGAAGCCACCGTCCTTGTCTCGAGTGGCGTAGAGCGATTCCGCGCGAAAATACCGCGGGGGCTTTGTTTCCCCCGCTGGCGTAGACAATGGGTGTCGACGTGGAGAAACGCGCGACGGTTCGATACGGAGAAACATCGAGACCGCGGAGGAATTTCTGGTTTTTCTGTTTCGGCTGTGGTTAGCCGTGAAAGGGGTAACAAGATTGGACGAGGTATTGTCTTAAAATATAAACTCTGTTTAGGCAGAAGATTAATTAAGATTAGAGGTATTCTGATTAATTCGATGTTGGGTTGATATTAGGTTCAAGATTATCAGTCTCGAGTGATGTCTATGTATATCTACAAGTGACATATCTTATAAATTAGATAAAATAATTCTGGAAATAGAAGAAATTGTCCAACGTCGACAGGAATTAAAGTAAATTATCGATTAACGCTAGAAATTCGGGACCCTTTTGGAGCAGTTATCGTAGAAGGACACGATTTCAGAACTCCATGAATTGTGTCGCTTTATGAATTGCATTTTGAACCGAGCCTCCTAGTGTGGAAACCCTCGGTAGTAAGGATAAAGAAGAAGCATTTAGGGTAGAGATCTCTCCGAGCACTTATCGAGAATTTACTTGTCGAAACGAGTTAAATAACTGATAACGGGATAATTCTGTAGAAAATTGACAGTGTTTTGAGAACTATGAATCAAAGTAACGCAATTTATTCCTTAGAATCTTCCAAATTCAATGTAATTATACAGTAAAAAAAGCAATGGATCGAAATCAATCATTTTTACTGGAAACAATATTAACAGTTCAAAAAGTGGACCAACGATGTAGCAATTTACAAGAAGGACACATCCGTCTCACACATGTGATCCCGACGAGCACACACGATCGACCAAAAACAAAAATCACACGAGCTTGACGAGAAGATCGATGCTAATTACGGTATCACGGTAAAAAAGTGTTTAAACACCGCCGGCAAAGTTGTTACAGAGGAAATGCAAATTTTTGGAACGACGACGAGACGGAATGCGGCCAGACAAATTCCCCTTTAGGTTCGTACATCGACTGTCGAGGTTGAACGATCGAGGGGATCACGGGATCGTTCAGGAAGCCAATGATTTTCTTGACTCGTCGCATCTTGTACCTTGTCACGGCGTGGCCGCGGAAACGAAAGCACGCCAATTATTACCGCTAATTGCGCGGCTCGACGGTCGAGTCCCGGAGAGCCAGTAATTTTATCGCGAAAACAGAAAAAAATGCGCGCGCGCGCACACACACAGACACATATATACGAGGACGAATGAAAACGATAAAAAAAAAAATTCGTGGCTATCGAGGCGACACGCGTGTGGCTTTCGCGAAATGAACGGGGGACAGGGCGTGCACGGTAATCGAGAATCCTTAATTACAACCGTTGGCCGAGGTGACATCGCGAAAACGCTCGAGAGCCGCCCATTTCTCCGTGCCTCGTCCAATTTCAATCGACGTAGCATACGCGCGGTTCGAACGGCTGCGTGTGTGTTTGTAAAAGCGTTTCCAGCGAACTCCGATTTCATCGTAAAAACGATGTTTGTCGTTAGTTTTGCAAACGAACTGGAGGGCTTCTTGAGCCGTCGATGTGATTCGTCCAGTCTAAAGAATGGGGAAGTATCTTCGATACGTAAGATCGTATTAATCGGTTCTATTATTTCATTTGATTCAGAAGAAACTATTTCACTGTTTTTTCTATTTGAATCCACTTAGAACACTTTCTACCTACACAGTGAGATCGAATAAAAATTCTGTATACTGTAAGAGTCCACGTAGGTTGCTCCAAAAACCAGAAGAAACGAATAAGTCTTAACAAAATACGACCGTGGCAAGTGTTTCTTGGGCAATAAAACCGCGTCGCAGAAATCTCAATCTTCTCGCAGAGCGGTACACACAGTTTTTACGAAACGAATTAAGAGGGTATACCTGCTCAGAAGTCGTAGAGAAGCACAGCACGCGCAGAGATCGAGCGCGCGCGTGCCAGCCGGGATAGTTGAATTCTATGGACAAGAACGCATCGAAAAAACCGCGAGGTCGTGTCTAATAATTCACCGTGGCGGATCTATGAAGATATCACCGGTCGATCGAGCGGAATACACGTCTGAAACGGGAGAGATCGAAGAACAAGCGGCAACATTAAGGCCGGATCGCAACGAAACTCGCTGACGCATATATGTATATATATCTACATCTAAACCCCAGAGCCAGAGTATATTAAGTCACACTTTTCAGACGTTAGAGGCGAGGAAATCAAAGGTGCAAAAACCTTGTATCTTTGGAACCGATCGGTAAGAATTGAGCTATTGAATGGATTTAAGACAAGTCTCCGTATGCAGAAATAGTCAACTTTACATGAATTCCACTATGTGATAAACTTTCCATTGTTTTAAAAATATAGACTTAATGTCACTTTTAGACTATTATGTACCTATATTAAAAAGTAGACGACATAGAACGAAATAATTATTACCATCGAAAAGAGTAAAATATTTGATACAGGAAACATGTAAAGTGTCGTTTTTTTTTAAAGTGGGCTGGCTCTGTGGTCCAGATATGGACAACGTTATTCAAGATCAATAATCTTCGAACATTGACAGGAAAAAATGATCCTTCGAAAATCTGTTAATAATTTGCCACAATTTCACGGGCCACAGGTGCTCGAGATGAATCGGTCGGAATAAATCTCCGTGAGGTGCAGCTGCAACCACGATGAAATATTCATAATGTAATTAAAGGCCGTCGAAGGATTTTTCAAGCGTGTATTTTCGAAACGAAATTTTCGTCGCGGGACGATCGATCGGGGAAGAGGATGCTCTGGAAAGAGCGAGAAACGCCGGGGCTCGTTTACAAACGGATAGGTCAAGGCGAGTGCGCTTAAACGCCTCGATGTATAAATCAACGGACGAAGAAAGCCGGGAAAGGGGCGGAAGACGTGAATTTCCTTTTTCGATCAATATCTACGACGATCGCGAAGCAGAAAGTGTGAACCGACGATGAGCGTTCGCCGAGAGTGGACCCAAAATGGCTACGAGGACGCGCAGAATTGAATCGGTGATCGATGATGTACGCCGTCGACAAAAATAAGGCTAACTTGTAATTTATTCGTATGGTGTTCCGTTTTGTATGGTTCTCAAGATTCCAGAAAATTTTTATTACTACTGTTATATCTTGGCTTAAATACTTTCAAGATTAAGAACTCGAAATTACCCAGAGTACCATATCAGGAAAGTAATATGTACCACAGTTCGTTTTATGGCTGATTTTATATACCCAGAGGTGGGCAACTTCTTCGATAATAAAAGCCACATATAATACTTTCCATACATTTTTGAATGTTCAAGAATCACAGAAATAAAATATTGGAATGTTGGTACATACTACACTAGTATAGTTTATTCGTACAAAAGTTTATGAAAAATGACAATGAAACACAATATCGTCTCAGGAGCCGCGCAGAGTGTCTCTAGGAGTCGTAGTTTGCCCATCGTTATTATACATATACCAACGTCTAATTAATTTACATACTGAATCAATCTCCCAAAGTCGTCTATCGTCCCAAGAAGCAACAAATTTTATACAACAACCAGGGATCAATATCCAAACCATGTCACCTATCGCAAGCCGTAGGTACACGTAACCCAATTTTCCAATTTCCTCGACAAACGTTTCCCTCGTTCCCGGAATCTCGACGGACATAGTCCGTCGATCTTGCCCAAATAAATCAGTGAGTCTTCGCTCTCATCAAACATCGAATATAAGGCTGACCAAATGCAATCAGAAGAAGCAAGGAAAACGCGTTTGATTGGTTCGATTAACTCGAGTTCGAGAACGAGGTAGATTTCGAGGGAACTGGCAATTTGTTCGAACTGATGTCCACTGAAAACCATCGTGCCCCGGATAATTGATTGTTAATCGTTGCGAGGAAATTTATACAGGAAAACCAGTTGTGAATGGAGCCTAAGGTCGTACTCTCTCCGCGGTCCTCCTAGCCTCCTCGCAGAAACACGGTTGAGATTCCGGGACAGAGAAAGAATCTGGCAGAAAGAGAGAGATCGAAAGGGAGCCTGGTGACTGTTCGTTACTCTCTGATTGATGTCGACATTTGGACAACATTGCGACGTATATACACGCGCATGCAACGGGGCTGCGCGCCATGTGCCTCGCCTATCTGGAGGACGCATCGTGGCAGCACTTTTTCGAACGGCTCGTCGATTTTAGGGCTTGAATCGCGACAAGATTCCCGGATACGAGGCCGACCTATGTTTCGCCTGCAAAGCTACTTTTGCTGGTTGCTCGAATTAATTAGCA